TATTTCCTCCTATCCTCATCCCTTCCTCACCCCGCTCCAGCCACACCACAGCTTTCTACTTCTCTCATCTAGCCACTCAATGCGGGCTGATCTGTGAAACATTTTGTGAGACAAGCTAAGGATAGCCACTGAGTAAGCAGTTAGAAAATTTAATAGCCACTGGTATTGCTATAACATTCAAGAGCATGTCCTTTTTCTAGTAACTCACTTAAATTTTACACAAGTACACAAACTTGACAACTAGGTTAAAAATGTAATTCATAAGTCTGACTCTGAATGTGGCCAAGTTTTAGGAATAAAAGTTTGCTTTCCCCTCATATGTATGCACACGAGTGATGTGATAATAATCTACATAAGTTTAAAAGTAGTCTGTCCATAGTATATAGTAAAAATTCTAAGTGATAAGGGAAAGTTTTGTTCAAGAAAATATTAAAACAGGACTATGAAAAATGATCAGTGTCAGTTTAATATGTACTATCTATGCAAAAAACTATCCACTTCTAAAGATACCCAGGGTTTTACTAGCAGCGGACTAAATCAATAGCCTTAGGTATAAATCAAATGCTAAAGAAAATGAGCTTTGAAAAGATCAATCCTGCCACAAGGGGGTAAGAACATAAAATATAAGTTTGAAGATAGTATTCCTTCTGTTTTCCCAGAACACAATAAGTACAATTATTCCTAAATGGCCTTTATTCAACTAACACTGAATAAAATGATTTGTGAAATGCCTACAGCCAGCAAAATACTGTGGTTATTTATTTAAAGAATGTGAACACCAAACTTAGATACTGCCCAGGTCTCATTTTCTTCTAACATTCAGAACAATGATTTTTACCATTAATGTGTCTCATTAAAACAAACAAAATGAATGACAGGATGGCAGTTCATATGCATCAAAAATTACATTACAGAAAATCTATTCAAGGGCTTGATCTAATTCTCCTCTGCTTTTATGAAAATGGCTCAATGTTTTTCTACCATTAGCTGCTCCAAAATACTAGAAAAGCATTCTATTTACAGTTTTATATACCTTAACATGTGTTTCAGACTAGTATAAGTATTTGATGGTAGGACAGTGGGCCAATAAATGAAGTATTATGTATAAAATACAAATAAAAGTTTATTGTACAAAATTAAGGCCTTCATATTTCATAGTTCACTAAGGCTAAAGGAAGACTAGGCAATTTTTAAAAACCTGAACAAAAATTTCACTTTTACTTCCCCTTACCCCCAACTATTAAAATGGCCTGACGAAATATTATCAAAACAAACACTATAAATAACACCAAGTCCTTTAAAGACAACTATCCCAAATGTTATTTCTTGGCATAGGTGATCTTCATGGCATGGGAGGGTGTGATCTTAAATCCTTGTAAAGCATCCCTGGCAGCTCCAGCCTGTCCATCATTTTCAAATTCAACAAATGCAATGTCATGCCTCCCAGGTACCAAACGTACTTCTTTAAAACCAGGGAATCTATAAAGAAAAGAGATTTATATATGTAAACAATTTATATATATGTAAATATATAAATGATATCAAATACATAAATGTCTATTCTGTATTTAAGTTTATTAAGCAACTTCCTGATATTGGTCTAGGAAAAGTATCATGTCCTACCAAGAATCTTAAGTGGAATAGAAGACCCTAAAATATAATACCATTATAATTAAAATATAATTAGTACCATAGAAGAATTATGGTATTATAGAAAAATGTAAGCTAATTGTATTTTTGGCATTACAGCAAAGCTTTCTGTTTTTCTGTTTCCTGTTTCATGAACCTGTAAGGAATTACTGCTATGTGACACACAAATGGATTCAATCCATGGAAGTGCTATTTGTCCTGTCAGGTGGCTCTTGGAACACAGACCTATTTATAAAAAGAAAAACACAAAACTTACTGATTAAACAGCATGGATAACATCATCTCATTAGTCTCTTCTGGTAAATTATTAAGGAATAAAATATAGTTTGGAGGGTAATCAGGGACCTATTAAAAAGAAAAAAGGCAAAAGTTAGCTTGTAAGTATAAAAAGTACTGTAAACCATTTGGCTCTTACATTAATATCTAAACTTGAGAGAGCTACATTCCACAGTTTATTAAGGTTTATGAAATCTTACTGCATTAAACACAAACTGAAAACCAACTACACCAGAAAAATATAAGGTTAACAGTAAGTAAGCAAAGCAGACATTCAAGTCACATAATATAAATTTGGAAGATCATATATCATATCAGTTTTTAAGTATTTAATAGTATTTAAAACAACACTTAAGTCTTAATTAAGCATGTGGATATCAGTCATAATTGGAGGAGTTTTGTCATCTGGATTAAATAATTGAAAGATCCTAACAAAACTAGAGAAGGCAGCAACGTCACTTCCCTTCAGTTGGTTACCCTAGTAATAACACAGGTAGTTAATTCTCTGCATTACTGCTTATTACCTCCCAGCATTTAAGAAAATTTAGAACCACTATGGTGACTTCTAATGTTTTTGCAAATAATGAGATATACACAGCCATCTAGTTACATAAGTAAGTAGAAAAAAGAGCTGTCACTAGATATTAAACTAATTATTTGATACCCCACCCTGAGGTTATTGGGAACTATAAGGAGATTGCCCTGTATATAAGAAAAGGCCTCCCTGTCTTCCGGATAATTTCTTGGAACAAAAAAGAAGTGTAAAGAGCAACTTAAGTAAACCATTTAAAGCTTATGGAATTAAATGCTGGCACTTATAAAATGGACTATAATTGTTTAAAGAAGGGAAGTAGATAACATAAGAAAATGCAAATAGCTTGAAATCAGAAGAGCAAACCCTCATAATGCAAGGAGTTCTCTAAATTTAAGAGTCCTGTCAGATCCTAGCATCTGAGGAAGCAAGTAGGAAACCATGAGTACACAACTGAGGCTTTCTCTTTGAGGCATTTAGCAAGGAGATCTGGAAAGGAGTTTCTAATACAGTAATACCTTGGTTTGAGAGCATAATTCGTTCTGGAAACAAACTACTCATATTGCAAGACATTGCTCGTTTACCACATTAAAATGTTTGCTCGTCTTGAGGTACGGTCACAAACCACGTTACTCGCAATCCAAGGTTTTACTGTATGTACATCTATATAAGAAGACTTCAATGTGCTGAGAAAGGAAGAGCAAGGTAACTGGAAAACAACTTTGCGTGAGTCTGTTAGAAAAGGTGGTTTAGTGCTTCGACCAACTAGAGCGGAAGTGTGCCTGTCACCTGGCCAGTTTCCCCAAGCCATGTGTCTACAGAGCCCTAGGCTACGTACTGTGGGAAAAACAAAAATGTCTGCTCTCCGGGCTCACATTTTAAAATCTGTCATTATGATTCCCTCATTGATTCATGATGAAAAGTAAAGAATAAAGTCAGGTTTGGTTTTCTCTGTCCTAGGAAATTAAAATGTTTTCAGTGAGTTTCTACATTAAAGTATTACATAATTTAATGATGTATCTTACAGATGGAATTATTTTCAGTTTTTGGAGACATGTAGGTTGTTGTGTATGATTGCTATTATTGCTTTACAATTTTATTTTAAAGCACCACATAGAAAAAAATACTACCTGAGGATTTGGTGTTGCATTTCCTTGGGTATTAGCTGAATTTGGTGTTCCCTAAACAAAAGAAATAGAGAAACAGTTAAAGTTTCCAATCCCTCTAAAAAAGCATGTTTGTATTAATAATTACTGCATAAAAATAACATTGATTTAAACAGATTTATTCCATTTAATTTTAAGAATTTACATCTTAGCTCTGACTCAAACATTCATATATTTAACTTGTCAAATATTTTTGAAAGGTCTACCCTAAATTTTAAAGACTATATTCATAAAATTTAACCTCTAAGCTTTAAAATTATGAAAAAGTAACAAGAGACAAATCAAGGAGTTTTTATTTATTTATTTAACAATTAGACAAATGTCAAGCATTATACTTCGTGAAACTGATTTCTAATCACTTTAATCCAAAAGTAATTACTTTTTGGATAATTTCACTTTCCTCTGGTATTTTAAATTAAATTTTGAATTTCTGAATTGTTCAAAGAAAGCAGCTGAGTGTAGTACTAATGATTAAAGATAATATCTACAATACTATTTACAGGCAGCAGAACTCGAGAAATAAGCCAACAGATATTAACACATACTGTGAATGAACTAAATGTCATACAAATTCAAATAAAACTATTCAATGTAAATCTGTATCTTTCAATTTGTTGCTTAAATATAAACATTGGAATTTTAGAACTCAGTCAGTCCAACTTCTTACAAATCCACGTCTTAAACACATATACATACACGTGCACACCCGCCTGCACCTCAAAGATCATCCCTCAGGTGAAAGACAGACATCCTAGCAAACTTAACACCAAAAAAATATGAACTTTTGTCCATCTTACCTGACCAGGCTTTTTATTTGCAGTCATTGCTGCTTGTTCCACAGTTTTGGCTTTTTTCTTTTCTTTCTTCTTTTCTTTGTCAGCAAAAGTGCCACGCATTTTGGATATTATATCAGAATCTGTTTTTGCATATTGGATTCGCTGTTTTAATTATTTGAAAACAAGTTACTTTTCATTATGGTGAAGGTTGTTTATGCTAGTTATTAACATTCCAAATTTCATTAGCTAAATACACAAGATAATTTAAAACCCATCCTTAAGAAAATTGTCAACAAAATATATTAAGTGCCAAACGAAAATAAATTGTGGCCTATGATTCACAACTTAGACAAAGTTAGATTCAACTGTTTATTAGAGAAACAACATAGATTTTCACATGAGAAAAACAGGACTGTGAAATAGCTACACCACTGCCTCTCTTCATGTAATAAAAAGAATGGAGAAAACTGCATTGGAAAGGTTGCCTATCGCTTAGCAGGGACTCTCAGTAGAAGGGTCAAGATGTGTCAATTAGCTGTAAAATGTGTCATTTGAAATTTGTTACTTCTAAAGTAAAATATCAAAGATTGGGAATGAGTTTCTTTTGAAATCTGGTCTATTATTCTTAAATGAAATGACTAATAGTGACATCAACTTAAAACGCTTTTAAAGGAAACAAAAAGATGGCCTCACAACTTGTGCGACCAGGCCACATGCTCATTCTTACTAGGCCACAGCCAGCAGGAACAATATGCATGAGTAGGACAAGAAAGCATTGAAAAACACTGGCCTAGGACAGTATTTCATAAACTAGAATGTGCACTTCAATTGCCTGGAGAGCCTGTAAAAGGGCAGAATCCAATGCACAGGTCTGGGTGAGGTCTGAGATCCTGCCTTCTAACAAGTACAAAGGGGATCGTGGTGAGAACTACCAGTATGGGAGCCACTTTGAGTAGTATGGCCCTGGCCTAAAGCTGAAGTCAACACCACTAACTATCCTAAAGTGTTTTCTATGAGTTAAACTGTCTGTGGTGTGCAAACCACAACTTCCATTTCAAGGAAATGTTTCTTCCCTGGAGACCAAAGAGCTAAAACTCCATCTCTGACCACACCAAAACAAACAATCCTACAAATTACTATTTAAAATTGTCTTGTATAGCACGAATTTGATCTGAAGGAACAAGTGACATTTTAAAATAGTGCGGTTCGAAAGCAGAGGATTTTTTTCTTTCCTTTTACTTCAGCTAGAGATGAATGTACTGGGAAAATGTAGGGGAGCAGGCCCACCAGCACACCTCAGTACCCAAGGTGTCCTCTTGCTGGTCTGGGCTGCTGTGCTAGAGCAGCTCTGACTGTCCTTATTATCTCTGCAAGCTACTCTGCTAGTCTTAGGCTTCATCAGCTAACTAAAGATGTAGACTGAAGGCTTAGACCAACTCCAACTTGGTCCCAAGGAGTCCCTCCCAAACTCCCCTGGGTCTTCAACCTTCTCCCTGATCCAAATACATCTTGAATAGTAACCTTGTGTCTGTCCTTATGACAATCACCTGTGAAAATCTCTGATCTCAGCCATCACTCTTAGCTGGCTGGTCTACACTAGTAATTCTCCACCAAAGGCGATTTTGCCCACCAGGAGACATTGTTGGATGGCATGCTAGTGGCTTGTAGTGGGCAGAGACCAGGGAGGCTGTTACACACTCTATTATATGAACAACACAGACCCCCACAAAAAAAACTATTGAATTCAAAATGTCAAAAGTGCCAGTGTTGAAAAACTCTGGTCCAGACTAAATACTAGAAAGGGATAAAAGTCTGCCCACAGCTTAAGAGAAGGGGCAAGATTTACATTCAAGCCAAATATTTCATGACAGAAGCCCTTAGGAAGATGGTTCTGTTTCATTGAAGTATTTTGGTCATTAAATAACCAAATGTCCTTGAATCACAAAGAATAATTTTGTTCTGAGTTCTAAGTTACAGCAAATTTTGTTCACTTCTGATCTGGTATGTTGGAATAAAAACAGAAGAGCAACTGTAAGCACCTAAATAAATACGAACAAGACAGCTCAAAGGAGGTTCTTTTCCCTCTTCCAGGATGCTGCGATCTGGGAGATATCTGCTATCTTCCCGACAGCAGAAAATGGACCTCCTAAAATACCTTCAATATAAGATCTAATGGACGTTTTCCATCTATTTAAAATAATTAGCTGGCAAGGTGAAGCCAGTGCCAGCCACAGCAAATAATTTCCAGCTTTCCTGTATCTAAGTAACAGGTACATGCAAACTTGTCATCTCAACTCAGCAAAACAGCCCTAAAACCCTCCCTGAAGGAAGAAATTGCTCCTTTGTAACTACTAAGAAAGACAAGCTGGTTTCATGAAATACCAATTTACTGAAATTAGGGTATGTAGGCACAATCCCAGTTTTCTAGGATGGGCCTTTCCACTTTCCACAAAGATGGTGCCCAGTCAGGTGGGAAGTGATGGGAAAAGGAGAGCTGGATAGAAGATGAGACAAAAACTTGCTGCACTAGCAGACAAAAAGTGTGCAGTCCTGAATTAAACAGTGGTATAGCTCCTCAACCTACTGACCACAGCCAACACTGCCTGTTTCTGTAAATTAGGTCTTTAGTGAACAAAGCCATATCCATTCATTTGCACAGCACCTATGGCTGATTTTCCTGCCAAAAAGAAGGAATTAAGTAGTTGCAACAGAGATCAGCTGGCTCAGAAAGACTAAAATATTTACTATCTGGCCCTTTTTAGATAGCACACTGATTCCTAGTTTAGGGGGGAAAAAACATACTGTATGGTGTTAGGAGATGAGCTTTTAAGTCCCGATGCTGCCATTGGTTATATTAATGTAATCTAGATAAACAATTAACCTTTCTGTGCCTGATTCTTCATTTGTAAAATAAAGGGATCAGACCAGTGGTCTGTACTACAGACTACGGGCTAAATCCAGCACATGGCCTGTTTCTGTATGGGTTATGAGTGAAGAACTTTTTTACACACAAATTATGCAACAGAAATCATATGTGGCCACAAAGCCTAAAATATTTATTATCTGGTCCTTTATAGCTTTTGCTGACCTCAATTAGACCAAAGAATAGTCAATCTGCTTACATTTTATAGGTGGTAAAACTGAACATGGGAACAGAGCCAATGGCAGAACCAGAATGAGGACCCAGGTCCTTGAAACTCTGGGCCTTGGATCTTTCCCCAATACTCCTTCCATCCCATTCCAGGTCCAGAAGAACACAGCTTTGAAATCCACCCTCAAGGTCCTGGGTACTGACTCATTCACATATGCAGAACACCTTGCTTTCCACTCTGTCTCCACCCTGATCCAATCCTCTACCATTTCTGACTGAGACTAACAGCCTCCTAATTGAGTTCCCTACTTCCTTCTGGCCCTCCCACAATAAAATTTTTCCAGCACCTAAATGTGAATCTCATTATATTTGCCTGAGTTTAAAACTTTCCATGAATAACTATTTTATTTCCTTTCATTGTTATTCATTAATAAAACCTCTTGATTTAAATCTATGAATATTCCTTATAACACTGCTTTATCTAGACTGCATAGCTTCTGATATGTATATTTCACTGTGGAATTTTTCTGAAACTTCAGATTGGATTTCTTCTTTGACCCATGGCTTTTGTTGTGTTGTTTTACAAGCTTACGAACAGAAGTTCCTTTTTAATCTTCTGACTTATTGTTAATTCTAATTCTTTTGAGATGAGAATATTGCCTATACTGACATTATTTTTTAAATATTCGATATCTTAGTGTATTTTGTTTTTGCCCATTTGAACTGTCATAAATTGAAAAGTGAATTATAAACTCTACTACTGTTCCTATAAAAATAAATAGGTAATTAAAATAAACCCAAATTCCCTCTAACTCATAAGAGCAGAAAGCAATAGCCATAGTTTCAAGGGTATGTTTACAAATCTATTATACCACTAATAGAGATTAAAGCCAAAATAATTAGATCAACCAACCATTGGCTTGCCATAAAATGGAAATCCCTGCAACTGTCTTAAGGCATTTGTGGATGAGCCCAGTTCTTTAAATATAACAAAGGCTTGTCCCCTCATCTTCATGGTCTTTAAAGCCACAATATCTACCACATGGCCAAACTGAGAAAACAGGGCATACAGGGATCTCTTCAACTCTGTGCAAAAGTAGAAAGGAAACAAGTTATTTGTGAATGAAACAAGGAAAACATCCTTCATAAAATGAAACTGCATTGAGTGCCCCCCGCCCACCATTCAATTTTTTATATATACAAAGTTACACATTTTAATAACATCATACTATTCCCATTGGCTATCTAATTTTAAGTTATTTGAAACCATTTTATCTATGACTAAAAACATATTGAACACATTTTCCACCCACATCTATTTTTATTTTTAAAAAGCCTTAAAATCCTCACCCAAAAAGAGACAAACCATTATATTTCAGGCACTGAAAAAGGTGGCTAGATAAGAAGCAGTACAATTTTTAAGACAGTAGTAATTAAACCCACTTTGGTTGTTAACCAATATTTTTAAAAAGCACTTACCTTCTTTTTTAATTTTGTCATTCATATTGTTGATATAAATTGTATGATTTGGTCGGATATCCATGTTTTGGGTTAAACTGTTCAAACAGCCTAAAGAGACAGTAAATATTCTGTTATAAATACAGAAGATTAACTAACGCTCTAGTGTGGCATTAAGATACAGCACAAGGATTATTAACTTTTCTACTTCTCTTTCGATCCCAAGTGTCAGAGAGTATCACTTTGGAAGGAGTCTTTAAAACCTCATTAACACTTTGCTAGCCCTCCTTTTTAAACAAAAGAACAGTTCTCCTCTCCAACTTCAAAACTCGGTAGAGCACTAAAACTAGTATCTAGGCAGATTTCAATAACATATTTTATTCAATACATTCATTTTTTCACTTATGAGAACTGACACTGTGTAATAACTTTTTAAAGCAAATTATTAAAAACTGAGATTTGAAGAAAAATGGAAAAGAAATTTAGCAAATATACATCCAGTAAAAATCATTAAGTTAGAACATTAACGAAGTTTGCCAAGAACTACTTCATGGGTACACTTATAAAGCACTTTCATATCTATTACTTAATTTAGACACACCATCACTAACTGTTCCAACTCCAAAGTTACCTCTCACCAGCTTAAGAGAACAGAGCAGAGAGCAGTACTGCATGATGGTTAAGAGCTCGGATTCTACTACCAGCCAGATCTGAACTCGAATCCTATCTATGCTTCTAATGAGCTTCTCCACTGAGTACAAGTTCCTTAATCTCTCAGGTTCACACCTGTAAAACGTGGATGATAACCCATTTACCCAGTAGCATTCAGAAGACTAAATGGGATAAAGTTCTAGCACAGTTCTTGCACTCAAAGTGATGTTATTAAAAGTTAACGGACTTGCCTCAGGTCACACAGCTAATAAGCAGCAGGCCTGGGAATTCAGTCCTTGTCTTCTGGTCTCTTGCACTTTTCTTTCACACTCACCTCACGATTTCATTTTTTACATTATTTTTGGTTGCAAGCTCTGACCTTGCTTTATTTCCCTGGATGTCCCACATATTCCTTAATTTCACAATTACACCCACTGTATGTGAACAGCACAGAATGACTGACGAGGGAAAAGCCTATGGACAGGAACTGTACTGTGTGGATAACAGATGAAAAGTAAGGCTTCTCAGAGACTTGCGACCCCCTAAACTGAAACCTGGAGATCTGGAGTAGCCAAGACGACCACGAAAAGGAAGCGATGGAGAGGTCAAACTGCGGGCAAGCTCTTGCAATATCTCATGCGAGGTTTCATGGTGGCCTGAGTTAGTGCGGGGGCAACGGAAGTCGCCTCCCAATCCAAAAGGGAGCCTCTGGAAGGCACCTAAAAGCGCCTAGCGAGCTGTATATTAGCATATGCGAAGGGACATTAATTATCCTTCACTCCGTACGCGGGAGCCTCCCACCTCTCCAAACACAGGCACATTCGCCCAAGGTCCCAGCCCGACGCCCAAGAAAGCAGCCATGTAATCCCGGCTCCAATTCGTCCCATTAAAGAGGCTCTTAAGTTAGGGGTCCTCGCGGAACCAGCGCGGCAGCCTCCATTCCTTCCTCGCACACTAGCAGAGCCTTCCGCGAACCCTGGGCCGGACGCGTACGATTCCCACCTTCCCGCCTCATCCACTCGCTGTCCTACAGGGGAGCGGCGGGCCAGCAGCAACCCTGCAGCCCAGAGAACCAAACAGCGAGGGACAACACGCTCACACTCACTTGAGACCAGCGCCGTGTCCACTAAGAACAGAAACCCGGAAACGTAGCCAGAAGCCGGAAGTAACGCTACCACGCGCCTCAATCGAGCGCCGATAAGTCGAGAAGCCGAGGCGGAATTGATCGATGCCCCGCTGCCGCAACTGGGGATCTCTGTGCGCATGCGCACACCTGGCGGGCGCGGGGAGAAGAGGGAATGGGGGAAGGGAAGGGATCCTGTGGGCACCGTGTAGAGTGGAACGAATGTTGGGGGGGCGTGGAGTGAAGGGCTAGAGAAAGCAGTGATTCATTTCCACCACCATGACTTTGAGCAGCTTTATCCCACACAGAAGTGCCTTCCATCTTTCCAAATCCTATATAGTTTTACAGGCGCCGCCTCTCCATACCACTACTAGGGCGGGTGCCCTGGTTTCGCCCTTTTCTGGGCTCTGGCTGCCCCTGGTTTAACATCACATTCAGAGCAGCCGGTACCCTTACAAGTCTCCTTTGATTCCTGGGATTCCGAGGAAACTCCCTAACACTCGACTGACGAGTTTGAATCCCAGAGGCAGCTCAGTTTGAGTCCCCAAAGCGGAGGGAGTTGATATCTCTAAGGCTCTCACTGCTTAAAGCAACCATACTTGACTAATAACCAAACACCTATAAGATCGTTGGCCTAAACTCACTCAAAAAACACCCATTAATTTCCTGTCCTACTTCCCACCTTCTCATCTCACAAAACGCCTAGTTGTTCTAGAGTAATACAACTTGGTGTTTAGGCCAAGCTGAATGGGAATTCCAAGAAAGTTAATGCATGCATGCATTCATTCATTCCTCAAATGTATGTAAAGCATCATCTGAAATGGTTGTTATGAGCCAAGGGGATTCCAATCTTGTATCTTCCCCTTAAATTATCTCTCTGAGCTTCAATTTCCTTTTCTGTAAACTAGGATCATAATAGTACCTCCTTTTAGAATTATTGTGAGGATTAAGTGAGCTAAATATAAAGCATTTAGACACAAAATAAATGGTCTATAAGTGTTATTTCCAAATGCTGGCTATGACTTGGACATATGGATGAAGTGGCCAAATAGGTTGGTTTTATAAGATGGGGATTTTTACTTTAAAAAATCACCTAAAGTTGCAACATCTTGAAAATAATGTAAGCTTCTTAGGGGTGGGGATTTTCATCAGTTTTGTTCACTCAGGTACCCTCAGCAACTGGAAAAGTGGCTGATAATAAATATGTATTGAATGAATGAATGAAGCTTCATGGAAAAATTAGACAATAGCAAACATGAAGATGCACATAAGTGTAGGAAATAATGTTAAACAATCACTGAAAAGCATGATTTTATTATATAGATATAGACGTTAGAAGAAATGTAAATAATTCTGTCTCAGTTAAGGAATTATGAAAAAATACATAGGGTACCAAAAAGATGTATATACATTTTAAGAAAGGAAAACTGCTTGAGTTTTATATATATATGAGTATATACTGATAACAAAAGATGAATCCAAGTCATGTTTCACTTCTGCAATTACACGAGGTGCTCAAAGTGGTTAATACCAGTGTCCAGACACTTCTGATTATGGTGAACTAGTGCTTGAGCAACGCTGACCAAAGTGCCCACTTGTATATATTTCTTTTGGCATCCCTGATATAAAAAGAATATCCTTAATACATTAAAGGGAACATAAACTAAATAAAACATAATTTCTAAATAACAAAGGACAAGCTACTCTGAACATTAATATGGGCATCTGACCAATGAATTCTGTTTAATGGTAAGATGGCTAAATCAGTATTCTGAAAATAAGCTATAACCTAACTGTGTTAGGCAAGTCATTCTGGCCAAGAGCATATCATAACTATTAGGAAAGGATAAGGTGGGACTTTGCAACGACACTCTACCTGGAAAGAAAAAAACACAGGAAACACAGAGACTTAAAAACAGACTACACATTCTGTTCTATTATTAACCACTAAAAAATGGTTACTATAAATTGCACAGTAAGAAGAAAATCATGTGATGCTAACTCAGTGGTAACATCTGCATGCTATTGCCCGGGCTATTCTAAACAGAGTCAGTGCATCTTTCTTTCCTAGGGCAGTTGCTCTGGGCTTTTCAATAGCCTGGCCTGTTAATAGTGCCCAATGACTTCCTGAATGATTTTGAGAAATCAGTAATTGAAAGCATGAAGGGGAGAGAGGAGCTCTTCTGGCCTTGTGAGAAGCCTTGAAATGCCTGGTTATATAACTTATTAGGCTGTTGGAAAGGTCATGACTCATTTTTGCAATGAAAAACATAGAAAAATATATCATGACTTTTCCTACAACCCAATATATTAAGAGCATTATAACATCTAAACTTCAGTCAGATGGATGTTAAAATAACCATGCTTTGTAATCAAGTTCACCTCCTGAGGGTCAGATTAGGAACCAGATGTTTCCAAAACTCATATGTTTTTAAAAAGAAGGAAAAAAAATGAGTTTACTTGGAGTTCTGTCCAGTCTCTGATTTACTTTTCTGTAAAACAGGTTTGTTGTTGTTTGTTTTAAATCTAACTAAACCCGGAGGCAGCACTAGAATACTCTAGCCAAGCTTTATGTATCTACTGATAACGAAACTTGCTTATTTTAGGGGTAGCAGAAAAATTACTACAAACAGTTGGGAATAACACTGTGTCAAGACATCAACATTACTGTATGAGGATGATAACTAAGGTGGCTCTTAGTGACTGTAATACATACATATTTTCCTCCTTTATCTACATGTGTTTTATGTTTCTCATTAAATGTTTTGAGTATCTTGCTGTTGTAGTTTTGAGAGGGGGCCATGTTTAAAGTAAAATGCATCATAAAACTGTGGTGGATAAGTTTTGGCTTATTTATGTTAGATAGAACCACAGAATGTACAATTTGTATGTTCTTTTTCTCTCCAGGTGGTGATTCCATTAAGAAATTTATGTAGAGTGAAATTATTTTCACAACAAGCATCGAACAATTCAGGGCATTATTGTTGAGCACCAAAGCAGGTTTACCTTTTCCTAGCTGGTTTGGATTATGTTGGCTGAAACTTCCGAAAAAGCACCCCCACCCCGGCAATTCAGAAAGGGAATTATTTTGTGCAATTATTTCCTTTCGTTTTACTTCAGTCCTTCTGTTTTATTTTTTTGGAAATATTCTGTTTTCAGTGGGGGAAAAAAAAACCCGAAAGCAACTATCAATTCTAATATGTACTACTCTAATGTTAATAATGGAGTGTCTTTCACATACACAAGAACACTATCCTCTCCACAAAATAGGTGGCACCTAAGATAGGCTATGATGATGTATGCATTCTATAAATTTTGGAAGCAGTAGTTCGCCTTTGAAGACCTGATAACTAATCCAAAGAAGTGCGGTAAAACCTGAACTTCTTACTGTTCAGTATTATATGTGTAAGTTGTGCTCAGCACGGTGTCATCTGACCTCTTATAAGTCCACTAACTAAATGTGATTGCCATTCCCTTTAAGACTGGAAAAAGAAAATGCCAGTACCATGAGGCTCACCTAACAAGCAAAATATTATGCAGATAAAATTCTTAAGTACAGGTTTCACTTCTATGATTCAACATTGTAAAATTTTTTTGAGTCTTAAGTCCTGTGACAATTTGAAAATCCAAATTTTAAAAAGGAAAATTTTTTCTATGTTGGACCTCAAGTATGTACTTTCAAACATGATATGTCATTGACTTCATAGGCAATACCCCAGCTATCCTAATCCAGTGCTTCTCAAATATTAATATACATATGGATCACCTAGGGATTTTGTTAAAATCAAATTTTGATACAGCAGGGATAGGGCCTGGGAATCTGCATTTATAGCAAGCTCCCAGGCGCTGCTGACGCTGCAGGTCCGCCACCACATTTTGGGTAGCAAGACCTTAAGCATTTCCTCTTTAGGAATGCCTGGTAGATAGTCCAGTATTGTACAATAGTTAGCTCCTACCAGATACCAAATACTGTCTTCTTACGCAAACACAGTTGACAGTTTCTTTCAAGGGGAAGAAAATTTTAGCTATCTTAAACTTTCCTTTATTTTAACTGCTTTTTTTACTAGGCATTTGGAAATCAATCATAAGTGACAGTGAGAAAATCTGGAATTTTTATTCCCTCTGACAAGAGACAGCATGCTTGTTTGTGAGGCCCTGGGTCACCTTCTAATTAGTGGTAGTCATTACATCTGTTCTGATTCTTGTATCCTGCTCCACTCAGGGAGGGCTTACACTTCTCCACATGCTCTGAAAATTGGCTTGGTCATGTAATGTGCTTTGGCTAATGAAGTGTGAGGACATGAGATAGGCATCACTTCCAGACAAAAGCATCAAGTGCCAGTGCACAATTTGCCAAGCACCCTTTTTCCTGTCTTTGTGATCTTGGAAACATACCCCTAGATGGAACCTCTGTCAAGCTTAGGT